TTTTGGCTCAGAATGCTCTTGCTGCCTGCAGTCAGCTGGTTCAATGAAAGCTGCAGGTCAAGCAGTCTTACAGGGCTGCTGTAAACTGCAAGGTTGTCTGAGTGTGGTGTGTCTGGTGTGCTTGAGCTGTCCTTCAGCTCTGCAGTTTTGTTTCTTCATGCTTTGCCAGACACTGAATGGAGAAGAGGAACCGATTTTCCAGCCACCTCTGTCTTAATGACAATAAGAAAATAAATATAGGTGAGCTTTCCTGAAGCATTTTCAAAGAGAGACAGTTTTGCTGAAGTTCTTTAGGTCACACCCTACTGAACATACAGATTTCAGAAGTACTTGGTTGGTATTGTGATTTTTGTAATGTAGGCTGCTGGTTTTAGGTTGGGTGACAGCTRCCTGTTTTGTATATGCAAACCACTGAGATAAAGGCCTTCACTTTCATGCATTATGGCCATGGATTTTGTCCAAGCCAGTGATGTCCAGTAATGATGGTTGATGTATGGCTCTATTCCCATTGCCTCATTCCATGAGCTGTTTCATCCACCTGRAGGTATGATTCCTGCTGCACAGCTATCCTTGCAAAAATTAATTTATTCGGSTTTAGTCTAGGTATAGTCACAAAAAGATAGAACAAAGGCCTAAAAAAGTGCTGGTTTTTAGTTACTCAGTAGAATGAAAACATCTGACACAAAAAGCTGCAGCAGCTGGAAATATCTGTGGTTCCAGTTAAAGATCCCTGACTTGTGTCTGCATATTCACCCTGAATGAATATTTAACAGAAGTGTTCATTCTCTCTCCTAAGGTTAAAGTGTCACCTTAACACCCGCATGGGTTCTGACTTCCAATTCAGAGGCTGCCAGTATTTAAACCAAAGTCTGTAGACTTCTGTATRCGTTGGAAAATGTTTTATTTTAAAGAAAATTCAGATTAAGTTCCTTAGGAATCAGTTTTAAAAGTGGAAATCTTTGAGGAATTTATGCATTGTTTAGTAAGACTCAAGTATGCTGCAATTTCTGTCACTGGGGACCCATTGGTATTTGATAATTTGCTTCTCTAAAACAGAAGTATATTTTATAAATGGACATGAAGCAGCATGTGAACAGTAAGTGATACAGAGTTAGGTGTGTACCAGGTGCCATGTGATTCAGTCTTTGATACATGTCCTGCAAAACACGTTTTTGTCTTGGAGTCAATGCAGTGTGGAGCAACTGAGAYTGATATCTATTAAGCTGTATTATTTTCAGTCCATAAATGAGTTTCTGAAGACATGCTGGTGACATATAGAATTGCTACATCTGGTATTTCTTTTCCAMCCCTGACAAACAACTCAATACCTAACAAAAATAACAATCTATGAGCAAATAGGGAATCCAGCCAAGTAATTCCATACTAAGAGAAATAATRAAAGTTCTGCTTTCAAGAAAACCAGCTATGTGAAATTGTGATGCACAAATAACAGGATTATTGAAAAGAAGACATTATGTTTGTTTCTGGAAAAGGACTTGTGTTGAAAAGGTAGGAAGATGGAACTGTGTTGGAATTTATTTTTTWAAAAAAGCAATCATCTACCTGGATGATTTCTGTTTTTAAAAATATTTGTGCTGAATCTTGAGGTGATTTAAGCTGACAGAAATTTACATCACCAGAGGTGATTAACAAAAACTATGCATCCTTGTGTTTTATAAGGTGTAATATTAGGCAAGTTCTTTCCTCAACCTGAAGGTGTCAGAAACATTAATTAAAATGCTTTTAGGTGTCTTGTAAGCATTAGTTTGATGCAGACTGGAAGATGTGCCTATATACTGTATTTGCACACATGCAGACAGAACACACAGAACTTTAAACGTTACACGCTGTTATGATTTGGGGCAACTTCTGAAGATTTAATGAATTCCATGTGRTGATTGAAGCAGCCAGTGTTAAACTAAAAAATGTACATATGAGATACTGATGCATGCTAACACCAGTTCTATAAGTAAAAAAATYTTTTAATTGCTGTCACTGTTAGCAGTGGCTATCTAGACAGCCCTGCTTATGACTAGGATGTAAGAAAAACATCTTTGACAGCAGAAGTGAGAAGGGAATTATTTCAGCCTTAGGCGGTTTTTTGGCAGTGCAAGCATGGATCCAAWTTTTAAAGTTTTAATGTTTGTTTTTCAAATGTGCATTTTTCTAAGCATTTATAAAACTTGTGTAACAACAGGCAGCTCTTTTCTTTTATTAATAATGACTATTTTTATTATTACTCACCAAAGGGTAAAAAAAATGTTAACTCTGGAGGTTTTTTCCTATAATAGATTTTACTGGGTGGCCCTAATCTGGTTTGTTTTAGAGATCTACCACCCACAGTGTTGTGCAAAATCAAGTATCTGTGGCTTTTTGGTCCATGAGACAGCAGCTTTTATTGTGGGGATGGGAGTGTAAAGAAACTCATCAATTCCAGGATCTGTGAGCAGAGTTTTATTGCATGTGTTTTACAGGCATATCCCTCCCCCACTTTCACCCTTGCCACTGTCAATCACAGCCTCAGCCAACAGTTTACAAGCAACAGCTGCTGGAAGCTGCTGATGAGAACAGCATGATTAGATTTTATCAACAGTTTCAGCTAAAAAGAAAACTAAGAGAAAGAAGCAATAACCATGAAATASACTGAGATGAAAACAGGGGTACCTAAGCATTGATAGGACTGAATTCTTTCTGAAGCAGGTACTTGTCAGAGCCTGATGAGTTACACCACTGCAAAGCCAGACAGTGAAAAGAAGCATAAGAGCACTAAGGCCATAATAATTCCATTAAACCACAGCCAGTACACTGAGATCATGATMGGTTCCTCTTGGTGGAATAGGAAAGAAAGGGTTGGTTCAGCCCTAGGAGGAGCTGAGTATTCCTGTCTATCTTCACTATTAGGGCTGCAACAAGTCTGCCGAGTTTGTATGAGCTGCCCGTCAATAAAACAATCTGAACCTAATTCAGGCTTCAACACTGGGCCTGTGGTTCACTTCTTTCTGCATTGATTCAGCATGTTTCATGATTTTTCCCTTGCAATAATACGGCATTTTCTTTGCTATTGCTACTCCAATGTTGCAGAATTGGAAGACAAGGCTAGGGAATTCACTCAACATTGTGCAGGAGTGGCACAGCAGAGGAGGAGGTTTCACTGGACAGATGTCCTARTTACTTGGCAGTCTTTCTCTAATACACATAGTGGAACTGGAAATGAGACTAAAATTTAATTTAAGTAATCACAACTTACAGTCTCAATGTAAGAATTTAAGTTTCTTCATAGATTTTTAAACATAACTTGAAGGCCTGGCCTATAAAAATATTACCTATGCCTGAAAACTCACAGTTGATATGTTCATGTTCCCATGGACAAAGAGAGTATTACATCTTTCTTTCTGCTTTGTGCCAGGTTGCTCCTTCAGCCTGATGACTCCTTGCAGATTCTTGCACCTGTGGAAGCTGATGTGGGTTTCTATGCTTGCAATGCATCCAATGCCCTGGGATCTGACTCTGTCTCCATTGCTGTCACCCTAGCAGGTAACAGTTCAACCTCKGATTGCAGGATTGTCCATGTTGCTTGTGGCACTCTAGACAGAAGTTGTTTGTGGGGCAGCAGATGGCTGCTAAAGCTGTGTGATGTGGGTCAACAGAGGCACACTGGGGAAAACACAGGRTGTGAGCTCTGTGAAATCCTGAGGCATAGTCCAGCTTTCATAGATAGTGTGTGAGGTTTATGTATTTCTGCAACACATCAACGTTTTTTCTCACTTGCATCTGACATGCTCTTATAACAGTGTTTATCCTGGTTATTCACAGCCTGTAGGGGCAGTGCAGTCCAAGCTTCCCAATTTCTGCCCTTCAGTTTAAACCTAGCACTGATCTCAGCAGATTCTAAGACTTACTCAGGTGTACATTAGGCAAGCCAGGAAATTTACAGAGCTGAATAACTGTATTTTACAGTGTCATATTCGATCAGAGACATAACTGACACTGTTTCAGTTGTAGCAAATAGACGTTTTCAAACAATTAGATTCCACGTTTCTATGCCTCTAGCGACAGCGTCTAAAGCAGACTAAATATTCTGTGCTGGTTTAGAATTCAGTTCTAAGGAAAACCTATCCAGATAAAAACCAGTGKCAGAGGGAGTTAGAAGGATGAATCCAGCTTCTTCAAGGTTCACWGGCAGACATCAGCGGGTCACAACCACATCAGGACTAGCAGAAGGGTGGAGCAGAACACGATCATGAAGAGCTGTTGAGTAAGATACAGGAGCAGAACAACGACAGCTAATGACTGTGACAGGGGAATCCTATCACAGGAACAGAACAATGACAGCTAATGACTGTGGCAGAAGGAGGATCCTATTTATCACCAAGGCAAAAGGAAGCATTTTAGGAATGCTGGAGAGCTTATTGTTTTTGCAGTCTTACCATGTCACTGCTTCAGCGTGTGGAAGTTCTTGGAGGCCTCCAATGCATGGGCAGCAACCACCAGCTGCCAGTGTATTCGTCTATGTCTAGAGTAAAAAATAGCTGTTGTTAAGCTTTAATTTTAAAAAATAATTTTTTACACCCAGACACAGAGAAAATTTTTAGTTAAGAAATAAAAGCATAAACATAAAATGTAAGAAGGCAGCAGTGAATAAAAATGAAGCTCAGATGATCAGTAAATCAACTAGAAAGAGACTTTGTCTTGTCCCTTAGGACAGGTAAATATTCCAGAGCAAAAAAGAAGGATCTGCATCAGAACTACATATTAGCTGTAGGCAAAACCAGAGACTAGTTCTTTTTACACTACTGCTATTAGAAATGCCTTTGCTGAATTCCAGGCAGCAGTGCTGCTGTTAAGATAGTGTCATAATTTAGACAAGCAGCTCCGCACTAAATCTCTTAYGTTGCACCAGCATGAAGGTGAATATGAGGTTAAAAAATCATCAGACAAACTGTTATTCAGTCCACATTGTTCCAGCGAGTGTGAAAGCCATGGTCTTTGTACAGCATGATTTGTGGAAACAATTTTGTGTGACACTGTAGAAGAAYCAATGGAGCATTAGGTATGCATGTGGCACAGGAAGGCTATCAGCTTTTTGGTTATAATTAATTATCAAATCTATAATTTAACCTTTTAGGTGAATTAACAGTCATGCTTCCCAGACTTCAGCAGAATGCCTCTTAGGAACTGGTATACATCTGCATCTCACGTCCAAGGCAAAGAGAGCTGAACAGCCCATAAAATGAGGCCATAAATATCAAAGTGAAATACTGAGCAGTTTTTGGAACAAAGTAACAATCATTTTGGCATAATGGAATTATTTTCTCAAAAAAACCTGGRAAGCTGAGATCATCTTTAGAGGAATGAAGAGTGGGGCTGAAAGCTTATTTCATTGAAGAATTTTCTGATTGATTTAACACATGCATGGAAAAAAAGGCAGTGGAATATGCTCCTTTTTGTTTTCTCAATGGTTTCCTACTCATTTATGGGTTGAACAGCTAAAAGATTTTTAATCCTTTGCTGGGATTGTGGAAGCCAATCAGGAAAATAAAAGGCTGATGGATAGCTGAAGAATTTTTCTTTCTTTTCTTTAGAGTTTACCACAAAGTATCAAAATTTTGGAGCTATTTCAACAATAGAATATATTATTTTACTGAGCAATTCTTGGGCATTTAAATCATCAAAATAAAGAAATTCAAAGTACAAAAAAAMCACCAAAATGATACAACAGGAATTCCAGTTGAATGGTATATTTTAAAAGACATGGAAATACAGCTGTATGGAAAGTTTTATATTTGAGGCTGAATTAAATTTTCATGAGCTCAGTGAAATCAAATTCTTTTTCTCACCTCCATCTTTTCTCCCTTGGTCAGCTCCAAATTAACATACAAATAAAGCCAGTGAAAGTATTAACAGTTGAAGTATTAACAATTTTAGACATTAGCCTAAAACTGGAGCTTTTGGAAGCATAGGATGATATCTGAAGCTGTTTTGTATCTGATCATTTATTTTAAATGGAAGAAAAAAAGGTGTTTATAGATTGTTGGAAAATTATGGGTTTGAAAATGCAACATTGAGTCGAAACCACCRAAGTCCCATGCCTTTTAAAGCAACAGTGTTGTGTTCTGCTCCTCCTGCAGAGCATTTGCTCTGAGACAGGGAGTACCTTAACTCAGCTCTTGCCAGTTCTGCTGCATTAGTCCTCTCTCTCAAAGCTAAGCTTGAGCACCTCTGACCTGTTTTGTGGGCGTCCCTTTACAGTACCTCTGCAAAAGGAGTTGCAGAAGGCTTCTTGAGCCATAGATGCCACAAAGACACAGACACAGCAGCAGTGAAACACCTTGATTCTCTTGCTGTCACCAATGTTGAAAGCTCACTTTACTGCAGGCAAAGCAGTGGTACTATTAGAGATTTACTTCTTCCTGTCAGATAACTTGTTTTGTTTTGTTTTATCCAAAACCTGAAGCAACAGTGTTACACATTAGTACTGTTCATRTCCCTCATCTTCTTGTGCTAGCCATTAGGAGAAAACTTTCTGGTTATGGTTTGGTCTTCCCCATCGCAGTGTTTCCACTRTAGGTTAAAGAAACCGTGAGTGATRTGCAGAAACAGCTTGCATGTTGCTCTGARCTTCCTCCACTGTTGATGTGCCCACAGCCATSTCTCAGGCTGCTGTGTTTGGTCTTTGGCAAAATGTGCTGTTGCAGCTGCAGTGCCAGGCAAGCCTCATAGTGCAACTCCACTTGTGCTGGTGTTTATTGATTCAGCTGGTTCTCCTGCATGTCCATATGGYTGTAATGCTATTCTGCCTCTGCTTCAAGTGTGCTTTTTCACTTTTCAAGACAGCTTTACCCATGGAATTTGGTGGCACTGAAATATTATAAGAAGCAGGTGGCCTCACACTTCAGTACTTTCCCTTATCCACCTGTCTCTTGTGTGTACTTTCACAGTGTTTCAACCCATGTATCCCATGTAAGTCCAATGTGCTTGACATGTTAAACWGTGGTACTTCTTTTATGCAGGAAAGCCGCTGATAAAGGCATCAAGAGCCACYGTGATCAACACTGAATCCCCTGCTGTCGCTGTTGATATTGGAAGCACGGTTAAAACCATCGAGAAAGCAAATGTTACCATTAACTGCCAGGTTGCAGGTAAAAATTATTCTGTTTCCGCGGGATTCTTTGCTAAATTGGTATCTCCAGTTGCAGCTGAGTGAAATTGCGAGTTTTTCCTGGGTCTCAGGCAAACTTCATTGCTTTTAATAATCCTTATCGTAGAACTTGTCCTCCTTTAGTCCATATCAAGCCGGGCAAATCTAGTGGCTTAAGGAAATTGGGCAGAGTCAATACGACAGGCATTGTTTTTAGAGATACACCATATGCTGTAGATGCCACAAAACTGATAYACATGGCTACCTCTTGGGGATGTTTGGTGACAATATACAAGCATGGACTGATTAATTTCATCATCGATGGTATTTTTAAAGATCACTCGAGTTACTTCTTCTTTTCCTGCCAAAAAAAAAGCATGGTAGCACACTCTTTCTCTACTGTTTTTTCCTTTTTCTTTCATCTTGGGAGTGCAAGAGTTCAGAGGAATTCTACCGAAACAGGATTCTCCCTAAAACTGTTTTCCARTCAAAGACTGAATATTCCTCAGTTTTACAGTGACAGTTTGCCTCTTTCCAGTGGCAACCAAAATAGGTTGACCTTGTCCACGTGTAGCAGTCCTATGGCTGTTGGTGGGAATGATGCTGATATGGGGAGGAGGAAGGGAGAGAGCTGGGAAATTTCTAAAGACCTGGGGCCAGACCATGGATTCATTACACTTTTATGCATAGTATGAGGAAGCATAGGARGGATGGGAGCCACTTACAAAACATGAAGTGAGCCAGTGGTGAGTGTTACATAAATATCTGCTGTGGAGACTTATATGAAACACTTTAAACTCTTGCTTTAGTTTCTTATCCCTAGCAGCTACTTCAGATAACTCTAAATAATCATCTTCACTGCAAATAAACAAACATCCCTGCTTTTTAACATTTTGTGCTCACTTTAAGCACTTAGTGGTTTTAAGTTTTCCTTTTTTAAGTGCTGCCAACCAAACCCTCAGGCAAGTTCTAAGTACTTGTCTCAAGCGTTGTTATTTGTTCATCCATCCTTTAGCGRAACATGCACAATAGCTGAGCATATTACTTTTGCAAGAGCAAAACACTAGGCTGTGATCAGAGTTTACTGATTATTCTCAGTGGGCTGAATGGAAGAAAAGCAGGGTATAACTTTCTCTTAGGTTCATGAAGGAGGAAGTTCAGTTATTCCTTGGCCTCTCGGCCAACGTAGGCACTAGGCACTCTCTTGCAATCAGACTCTTGTCCAGTTATTTTCACAAAAAAAGATGGAAGTGTTTTTCTTTTTCCTCCAGGCTTCTCCATGCTCACCTGCACTGACATTGTGTGAAATACTACATGAACACAAATTATTCTAGATTTCTCTCTSTGTGTTCTCTTAGCTGCCCAGGTTCAGAACCCACAGACTGAGTCAGTTATTGCTGATTTAAGAAGTGCAGCCATTTCACTTCAGTATAAAGGCATCATGTAAACAACAGGATGTGACTAAACAAAATTGCCACAGTACTTACAAAATCAGAAAACTACAGGAGGGAAGCACAGAATGGTCAAGGGCACAGATTCAAAGCATTTTCTGAGAGGAAAATGATCACTAGCAATTTTGTAAAGCTTACCCACTGTGACAACGTCCACACTGGAAAATCTTAGCAGTGTCTTCTCTTCTAGGAGAAGACTATCTGTCTGTAGCATTACTGGATATTGGAACCTTCTGTGATACAGAAGAAATTTTCTTAAATCCCAGTTTTCTCCGTGGGTGGAAAAAAGATYTTCTGCTACCGCCTCCATGGAAAATGTTGACTTTATTGACTCCAGAGATTAATGCTGTTGAAATTATGATAAAATCATAAACCACAAGCTGCGATGTTCCAAAGGGAATAAGAGAGTGAGTACTGAGGRCAGATATGTTTTATAGGCACTAGAATCTTAATTTCATTAAAATAGTGTTAATAGTTCAACAGCAATTTTTAAAAAAACTACCTTGGGAAATGAACCAAGAACAGCAATTTATATCAGCTGTCTCACCTATACCTGGAAAATGTACCATCTCATAAAATCTGTAGCAGAATGTGAGAATAAATGCAATTTTCCTCCTAATGTAAGCACCATTTTTTTTTGGTTTAACTTCAGCTTCATGATTGCCCAATCTTTTATATATTTTTGATCATCCCACTTAGAATACTTAGTTGCAAGGAGAAGAGTAGCATGCACTATTTCTTCATTCAGCAAATTTGTTGTATCCTAGTGACTTTAGAGTAGGTGAAATTTACAGCTGTGTAGTTTGCCAAAGTTCCTCACTATGTGTTAACAATGAAATGGTTACTAAATCATAGTAAGCTAAAATGAAATGGTTAATGCAATAACATCTGGTAATAAAAAAGTGATTAGAATGTGAGAACAAAGTTAACAAAATTAGAAAGCAAAACTGGCATATCCAGAAATTACATGGAGACTTGTCTGGATGAAAACCATTCCTCACACAGTCTTGTAAAGCTGTAGCTTTTCCCTTCTAGTACTTTTCCTCTAGTCATGTTAGGCTGTCCTGAGCCAGCACAAGTAATGAGAGTTGTTCCAGGTCAGTTTGGTGACAGTTAATGCCATTGTTATAAGCTGTGATTTTGTCACAGTGCTGCACAGTCTGTGGTACAGAACCATGCAGGTATTGGGTCTGGATGTCTCAGCTCATGTAAGGACACTGCTCATCTTAACTGAGAGTCAGCAAGAATAGATATTTATAACAGAAATATCAAGGATCAGTTATGATATTTTCTAAAGCTACATTTACTGTCAAGGGACAGAAATATACACTCTACCAACAGGCGTTGATGAGCCTAGAGAAGGTTTCTTAAAAATAAGAGATAATGGAAGAATGCACTACCAAAGTCTAGGRATTAATTTTATATTGCTCTTTAACTTCTTAAGACAAGCATAAGCACCGTCAAAATCTGTGTTCTGAGTTGAAATCAATAGATATTAATATCTAATAATAGATATTCATATATAWAATAGAAAAGGGAGAACAAAATCATTGTGGATGCGTTAGAATTTAATTGGTACCTGATGTGAATTGTGAAGATTAAACTCTATTTCAATTGTACCACAAAGACAGTGTTGTGGTTTTGATCAAGATTGAAAACTGACATTATTTCACTTGACTTAAACTTCACTGCTTTGTCTGTAGAGGTGAAAGAATATCTTTTTTGGCCATTATTAGATGATTGTGGTCAATTCCAGACTTCTCCAAAACTAATCCTTGGGGATCTCTCAAAAGTCGCTCCAAAGTCTTGAAGATGTCTGTGACTTCCAGCTGGAAGATTTGCTCCAAGCTTCAGAAAGACAGCAGCATTTCTGGTGTGGGTAAATTGACTACTGCAGGCAATTTCACTTCCAGATAGGATGAGAGAGCAATGTAGATCATATCAATATCACTAAGGAGCTTTCTGTTGATTTCAGCACTTAAATTGAGCAAATATTATTTTGAATACCAGAAGCTTCAAGCAATCTGGCCCAAACTGTTACTGAAAATACATTTTGGCATTAAAGAAGGAACCCATTTTAAAAATCTTGTTCTTAGGGCATTCTGCAAAATGTCATGTATGATTAGTGACTGTTGGGTCAGAGCAGGTTTGGAAGGGTGGCTTATCATATATTATTTCCTGCCCTTTATCTCCTTGAGTCTTTGATGTTCCAGTTCGCAGTTCCTTCAATTCTCCTAAACATTCATTTCCTCTGTATTTCACTTATATGCTGGAGATTTAATTTTCTAGTTCTTACCTATGTTRTGGCCCATGTTTATTCATCAGCTGTATCAGACTGTGAAATTCAATTCACTATTTCAAGAATATTGTGGCATAGGAAACTAGTCAGCACTGTTAGAACCTTGCATTGCTATCCTTTCCCTCAGAGTCTCTGGTTTAGTAAAATTATCTCAATTGGCTTACACAGTTCTACTTGGTAGTACCCTGGGTAGCTTTTTCGTGTTGGATACATGCACATGGATGGAGGGAAAASCTGAAGAATAGATGTAGGTAATTATTCACTATCTAATGTCTTGCCTGCCCAGAAAAGTGAACTCCGTTTCCAGCTGGCACCTCGGAGACTTTCAGCCTCTGGGATATTTCTGCGAGGGAAACACTCAGCCCTCTCTCATCCGCGGTCAGCCAACAAAACGGATTGAAATGCTCTTGCTACCCCTTGCGGCAGCGCTGTGTTCGCTCATCCCTGAGCAGGCTGCCCCTGCTCCCATACCGAGGTTGTGCGTGTCACTCAAAAGAAAGCGACCCTGTAGCTTATTGACACTTACAACTTATCTTCCCTAAAGGAATTTGCTGTACCTGCAAGTCTGCTACTGTGGAAACATTGACGATGGAGGAAGGACACACATGTAGAACACAAGTCAAAAAATGTTTTTATAGTATTGCTGGACGTTTTGTAGGCAAAGTGTATCTTTCTTAGACTCAACAGCAGTACCTCAAATTAAGGAGATCTGACTTTTAACCCTTTCTTCTTCTGCTGCTAGTGGAGTGCAGAGGAATCTACCTTTCTAGACCAGGACTGTCTGAGCAGCTACCTGCAAGAAGTGAATTGTATCTGTATTTATTCTGTTGTGTTATTTGAGTCACTGCTCTAATGGACTATGGCTATATGAGATCCTCCTTGTCCTTTCCCCTGTTTCTTTTGCCTTCACTCAGTACTTCTCTTCTTCTTCTCCCACTATTTTCCTTGTGGWATTTTTTGCCTTGTAATTCTTACTTTTGTTACACTTTGTCAATGTTTTTCCAGGTGTTCCTGAAGCAAAAGTTACTTGGTTAAAGAACAAGGTCAAGCTGTCCTCTGCTCACCATCTGCATGATGGGCTCCTGCTAATAGCAAATGTTTCCCTRTCAGATCAGGGGCTATACTCCTGCAAGGCAGCTAATCTTCATGGRGAAGTAACTGAAAGCTCCCAGATCCTGATTCTTGGTGAGTCCAGGGTATTTTGGTATTTTGCACTTGCAACTAAAGTAATGTGCTACTGGCACATCCAGATGGCAGAACTAACTGGAGGTTGTGGAAAAAGGAAATGGCATGCAGRCAGACCTTCTTCTGTGAAAAGTATCAGTCTGCATTTGGGCAGCATCCGCTGAAGCAAGGTGGTGGTAAAAGGAAAATCAATGAGGAGAAAATRTCTAAACATCGAGACTGCTCCTCCCAGTCCCAAGATACTCAGTTTAACTCTTTCAGACTTGCTAAGAAAAGCATTTCTTAGCCATATCTGAAAATGAGTGTCTTGAAATGAGAGTGATGTCMCTTTTTCCCTGTGAAGTAATCTGCCTCCATTGGGCAGCCTTCCCATTCAAGTCTGTGATACTTTCCTTCACTAAGGTGTATAAAGCCAGTGCACTACAAAAAATTACATCCCAAGTTCTGTGAATGGTGATGTTCACTTTCCTCTGTGTTTTTAAACAGGCAGAAAGCCCGTCTGAGTGATTTGAAAGACAATGGCAGCTGTGAAATATGAGTGCAAGTGTTACCTGGCGGGAGTTGGATGTGTGGAAAAGGGTTTCCTTTCTTAGGAACTCATCTTCTATCATTTCTGCATGCCTGGCAGATGAATGGTCACGCCAGACTTTTTGAGTAGTTTCATGCGTTTGATGGTGAAGCCTCAAATTTTTAAATCTATGCCCCATGACTGGTGCAATACCATTACAGCATCCACTGCAGCTCTCATCTTTCATGAGTAGAGCAAGCTTCCAGAGGATGTACAACAATGAGATTTCACAGTTTCACAGACAATACTAAAATGAAGGTTCACACATGACTCTTACCAATCCAGACTTACTCTAGGATCTCAGTCTACAGAAAATAATCTGGAAAAAAAAATCAGCTGAATTTCAGCATATAAATAAAGACTCCCACATGATCTTTAAATCCTTTTCTGATCATTATAAATGGCTTAGCTTTTAAAGATGGTAAGTTACTGTGAGTTATGCAAGCTGCTTATGTTTGTAAGCAAATGACATTTTTAGCTCCTTGATGGAGCAGAACAGTCCAGGCATCCTTGACCTGCACTTCTGGCACTGAATGCTATCAGCAGTAGAAAACTTGCCTGGTGTGTGCTGTGGTCTAATTGAAAGGGGATGAAGCCACTGTTGATTTAAATCAAATATCCCATCGTTTTCATGACAAACAGAATTGGGAATGCTAGGCATTGCATCAATATTTAAAGTAGTATTATGATTAGTAAACAGCTAAATCCTGTAGTTCTCAGCATAGACTGATCCTCTTGAGCTCTGAACTCTTAGTCCTTTGGAGTTCTGCCTAAGTATACCATAGGATTTGGCAGGATTATAACCATATTTAATCAGGACTTGATCCAGGTTGTAGCAGAGACTAAAAAGTTTTTCACTAACTGCCGTGAACATTTGATTCGGCTTCTATGCTGTATACATTTGCTTTGTCTTACRAGCTGCTTTATCTCCTGATACCATATGACTTTGTCACACAAAAAGAAGAGTCGGCCACAATGCTGAATGCTGCAGTACCCCTCATAGATAATTTCTTTTAGTTTGTGATCATATTGATCCAGATGTTATTTTAATAATATCTCCATCACTTTTATCTAATATGAGACAAAACGCTTTCAGTAGTTATCCAAAGTTGCTTAATCTGCCCCTCTAAAGTTGCAGCACAGCAATATTTCAGTGATGGGGGTTTTTTAATGTCCCCAAGATGTTTTCTGCTGTAGAGTTGCTCATCGTTTCATTCTCCCAATCTGTTATCAGAGCCTCCACGATCTCTTCCTTACCTAGAAGAATTGACAGCAGTGCTTACCAGTGCTGGGCCCAGCACTCACTCAGTGCTGACCTCTCCTTCAGGAACAAAACTGACTGTCAGTCCAGGGAGCTCTGCTCTCATAGGTAAGTCAAGTGCTTTAAGATTTTTTTATATTTTCAAGTCTCTAGAGTTTATATTACAGTTATGCATCTGGTTAACCATTACATTAAGTATTGGTTATCCAGACATGAGCACTGAGACAACAGGCATCAAACCAACAGTGCATTGTCAGTCATAATCACTGCCAAATACCTTCTACTTAGTTTTAAAAAGAAGGTCCTTTTATTAGTCCAAAGCTCCATGCAAAATAAGGGCTCCATGGTGCCACCCTTTATTTATATAGCACCCTGTAATAAGCAGTCCCTGCTCTGGACRGCTGGCAATCTTATTCAAAGCAAAGACACGGCAGACTGGTGTGCCACTTGATCTAAAAGAAGAAACACTGGTAGCTGTGTTTCAATTTTCCTTCTACATTTGCGTAGCTGCCTTACCCTATGTCTCCTACACATACTAAATATCCTTCTAGAGAGCCTTTTCAAGAGTTTTGCCTATCCCTCTATACATGTTTTGAGCTTGCAAGGTCTCTGTTTTAATCTGTTCATTTTATTCCTCTTTCTTATTTCACGAATAAAACCAATGTTTGTGTGAAGCCATATAAGAAATAATGCCCAATTAAATGCTGTCTTCTTTCATCCTTTTCTGCCTTCCATATACCTTTACTCTCTTTATACAGCAAATTATCTTGTRTCTTGTAAACTCCTTTCAGACCTGTGGGTGTGATTTGTTTGCAAAGAGAATCTTACTCTTTTCTAAATTTCATTGTATGTTTATGATTTAATTTCATACATTGCTTTGAAGCGCTAATAATTGTCAGGCTCAGATAGTCAAACAGCTTCTCTAATGAACTTGTTACTGCATACCATGTAAACTTGTCAAGCCCTACAATTTCAGATCTATCTGTTCTCCTTCTAGAGGTAGGGATCTGAAACCTTTAACAAGAGATCTGCAAATGTGATGTCCTGTGTGTTAATAGATCTCTATACCTTCTGAAGCATTCTTTCCTTACATTTAGTAGAAAATTTAAGATTTTGCTTTCACAATGGAGACATTCTGTTTATGTTTTTAGTTTTGTGTGGTTTACTTTTCCCTAGTGCTGACATCTGCATATGTTTGCAATGACTTCTAGCATGCAGCTCTGGATTACATTTCTGCTTGCACAAAAGCTGTATCTTTCATGGGGAAAATATCTGTAGGTATTTATTAGCATTGAATAAATCATTTTGAGTATGGTTTTATTGTGCTCATTGATGTAAGACTGGGTCATAGTCCTGTTTCATCCATTTCCTCTCAGATTTCCAAAAAGAAGTGTTTAGGGGTTTCAGGCAGTTTTTATTGTTTAAAAGCAGTAATTGAATGATAAAGAGTGTTCTGCACCGCCTGTGCACTGTGGTATACAACCACCTCCAGATCAATTTCATTTGGCCCTGTACCCTGCTGTTCACTTCAGGGGCAAAGAAATTCCATGAATCTTAATTGTGAAATAGCAAACAAATTTCATTCTTCAGGCAGTTCTCTCAACAGTACTGTAGTTTTACTGGTTTGAATTAGAGTCTTATGGTTATTCAAGCCTAGGAAAACCTTCTGAGATATTTTTGCTAACAAAAAATCAGGATGGAATGAGCTACCCAGTCAGTTAGAAAGCTGGTCCATTGATTTTTCCATTCTACCCAATCAACTTTATTCCTGCTTTATTCGTCATTTATAATGTTGAGGTGTTTGTTGGCTCTACAGAGGTCCCATATAAGAACTTCAGGTATATTAATTATTTCATGTAAGATCGCTTKTCTGTGCTACTGTTGGGCACCAGTATCTCTTGGGACTCAAAAGGCATTGAAGTAGTCATGATATTTAGAAATCTAGGCATGTGAGTATTCATTGAGTAGAGAAGGAAAACAGTGCATTTGCAAAGGGAAAAAGTGAAATATGGAGAAAAGGAGGTATAAGTAAGCTCTGGTAAACATTATATTATACAAGATTTAAAAGACAGCAAAGGTGTAAAATCGTGTTAGAAACCTGGACAAAGTCAAGCATAGGTTTGCCAGAGTTTAAGAAAAATGGGAGTCAAAACTTCATTAAACACTGGTTTCATGCCTTGAGAGGTAAATGCAAACAGAAAATAGCACAGCACTGGCAAGAGCACAGCAACAGAAAATTAAAGCTGAAAATGAGGACTTGTTTGGAAATAAGCAGCTGTATAAAATATAAAACAATTGACAAGCTGAGCTGGAAGGAGAGAACTAGAATTTCCAGATTATCATACATGCCATAATACACTGTCTTTTGCAAAGTGGAGTTATGCAATATTTCCATCATCATTTCAACCATTTGAAATTACTAACTTGCTCTCTGGGGTCATCTGTTATGGGTTTCTTCTACTTAMATTTCAGAGGGGTTGCAGAAGACAAAGATCAGTGTCATAACACTAATATCTGGTTTGGAGGTCTTCTCATTGCAAGAGTCATTGAGCAGTCATTTAGATGCCTTCATGATAGAAGCAGAGGGAACTACCTTTTTAAAAGATCCATGTCCTGGCCAGTGGAGTCAGCAATATTTTTATCTTAAATACTTTACTTCTAAAGGGTTGAGATTCCTATCAGCTTAATAAGGTTTCTGTCCTTGGGAGTTTCTAAATTTTTCATACAGTTTTCCTGAACATTGATGATAAAAATATTGTAAAAAAATCACTCCTTTCCTCGCAGAGGAAGTCTTTTGTTTGTCACCTGAAAACTATTTTTGATGTTTAAAAGTATTCCTGACTATTTGACTTCTGTCAATTCTGATTACTTCATAGTGTATGTTTTGGAATTAAAGGAACATCCTAAGCTCATGTATTTTCACTAGTTTATCTGTTCTACAAATATCACTGAATTCTTTTGCACAAGTCCTTGGACACATTTCCGTGAATCTTCAGCTTTGTAAATGTTAATATTGGCAGAAACCAATATTGTAGGACCCAGTGTTCCTAGTTTTAAGCACTCCTGCAGAAAAAAGGCTTTGGTCCTATGAAGAATATTTGTTTTCATTTGGGTTCAAGCTTGTTATTTCCTGTATTTTAATATAATTCAGTGGGAAACTCTGATGATCTTACAAATCCTCATGGAGATTGACTACAACTTCTCAAATATATTGTGATATTACTGGAGACCAATAACCAGCAGATTTGGCAAAAGATACAAAATACGATAAACATATCTCCTTATTTTAGCAGTGAATAATACTGCATATGTTATAATTATGTTTCCCAGTGAAAGACGAAGTTTTAATGAGCTTGGTATTCATGCATTAATTACATTTAAGTGAGGATCTTTGCAGCAACATTGGAAGAAATTTCATAAATTAATACTCCTAGGCATATGGATATGTAGTACTCCCTATAAAAGGTCAGAGTGTAGTAAAGAAGGCAGAAGGGAAATGTTTTAGGGAATCTGATAATACAAATAAGTGGGGAAAAGCCTAGGCAATTATTTGAAGTCTGGATCCCATCCCTTTTATCTCTTTGCATATTCTCCAGTTTGCTCACTGTGAACCTACTCTCATCCCTGCCTTAGGACTCYGAATTCCTGCTCTTCCAAGCAATCATTCAGAAGAAGGATCATCTATCTAATTTTGTGTATTTAGGGGAAAATTTTAAAAAGTCCTAACTTGTAGGGGATACTGAAAATTGCTGAGAAATTAGATGATAAAGTGTATTTTTCTCTGACCAGAAAAGTACAGTCAATTGTAAAAAAAAAAAAAGGAAATACTGTTGCACCACAGTTTATGTGTTCTCCTTGATTATTTCCATATCAAATTTGCTCATATCACAAACCAGAACGATTTTACTGCCAGCATTGCAAACATAGTCCTAAAAAGCAGTAGCATAGTCCAGTTTCTTTCTGGTTTTATATATTACCCCCAATGAKCACAGAGTCAGAGCACATTTGTTGCCAATTTTCCTACTGCTTCAGAAGATGACCAACTGCACAAAAAGTCTTGTTCTGCAAACATCAATATTCAAAATGCAGCTGTTTTTAAGACAAAGTGATAACAAAAACTTTTCACTTAAAAGATAAAAAGGATTTTCCCTCACCAAATTTACTGTATCCCACTCTCACTTTTCTATTATTGGCAGTAAGTAGCATATCCCATTCATTTTCTAGTAGGATCGTTTAAGTTTCCAGAAGATCACCCCAAATGCACAATTGAAAAATAGCCACCTTGCTTTCAATGGACAGCCTTTTGAGTATGAACAAATTACTTATTTAAAAGGTCCAGTTGCATTGGAGCCAAAGCCCAAAGTTCAGTGTGGGGTCAGTCTTTTTTCAGTTCAGAGGGGATCGGTTCAACCCTGTGGCTAGTACTTGCCTGTAGTTTTAAGMGTTATCTGAATGTGAAAGCAGGCAGAAAAATTAACCTAGAGCTTTTTGCTTGTTCTTGGGTGCTTTATAGTGCATCAAATGTATGCCTGAATACTTCAGGAGAAGAACCAGATCATGTAGGTAGGCTACTGTCAGGAACCAAACTCTTTCAGCACAGCCAGAGAAGTTAATGCTGCGATTGCTTGCTAAGCAATCAGGTCATAACATCTGGCTCTCATAGGACTGATAGCTGTTCATTATCAGTGTGAAATGTAATAAATGATCCCAGTGAACACAGCTGATCTCACCAGTACATATTTCTTTCAATGTTTGGTGATATACTCAAGAGTAAGAGTATATTTTCTTGAAACGTGTGTTTTCACATACTCCCCTTTGCCCTTTCCATCTTTACCATGAGTCTGGTAGGTGGTAGATGGTTTAAATTTTTTAGATCGTAGATGGTTTAAATTTTTCTAGATTTGGGAATTAAAATTTGCAGCAGAATGAAAAATAATTTACAATCTGCAGAGTAAAGAAAAGAAAATTCGTGAGTAATTACAGCTAAACTGGTGTCAGTGCTCCCTTAAGGAAGAAGACAGCTACAGAAGCTGTGCAGTAGGATTCGGATAAAATCATGATTATCTGAGAAGTTATTTTGCACAATGTCATTTTTTYCCCCCTCTTCA